AAGTCACTTGAACCATGTTATTTGAGGCACCACTTCAAAGTATGTTGAAACGCCAACCTTACAGTCACTGAACACTGTTTTCCTTTGAAAATTACGTTAATTCACAAGCCTAGGTAGCATAAAACGATGAACATTTTGCCTTCCAGAGAGGTCGGTCCGGTTCACTTGGGATGAGGCAAGGCATGGTTCTAGCAACACTTCACGTACATAGAGGAACAATTTTAAATGGCTTTCGTTAAACCTGCAAGCTGGCCTGTTTATACCTCTCGAAGTACATAATTTGTGTTTTCTTACAATTGGGAATTCAGGGAAAGGCCCCCGAAATTATCTTTAAAAGGCAGATCCAGTTCGGGGAGGGAAAGAGCGAGGCCGCTTGCACGTTTAAAATATGGCTGGAAACACAACATTCCACATGAGCGGTAGACAGGAGGATTGGCCGTCGCTCACTAACACCCCGAGAGGTTATCATTGGTTCCATGACAATCTAGGGAACACCCACTTAACTGCTAAGTACATACTATATTCTTTGGAAAGTTGGATAAATTAAGGTTCACTAAGTGTTTATGTTCTGTGTTTACACCGTGTATCACTCCTGCTTTACAGCTTAACAACCCTGGATCACTTTTCACATTTGGCCTCTAATAAAAATAAATGAAATGGCTGTGGACACTATCTAACAGGTAGTAGTTCTTGGCTGGCCACTCGCGCCGCCGGGGTCCGAGTGCTGTCTGTGCATGTGCGTGGCCAGCGAATACTTGTTTTTGAATTCCTTGCTGCACACGGGGCAGGTGGCGTGCTCCATGTTGGAGTGCACCATCCGGACGTGCCGGTTCAGGTTGTACGACGTGATGGGCTTCTGGCACTGCGGACAAGACACGTAGCCGTCGCTTCCACCCAGGGGGCGTCGCCACGGCACTCCTCCCCCCGGCCCTCCGCCTCCTGGGGCACCTCCCCCTCCGCCCGCGCCGCACACACCGGAGGGTAGGCCGCCTCCCCTTGCGTCCAGGTACGTGCCGCCCAGCGCCCCGCCGTGCAGACCGAGGTCCGTCACGGTCGCGCCGTACTCGAAGGCGCGTAGAAGGTCCAGACCTGAAGGAAGCAAGAGAGTAATGAGAGGCTGTGAGGCATGAGGGGCCGAGATGTGCGTGAAAGGCCAAACACCGTGAAGAAATCATGCTTTGGTAGGAGATGCATCCCCAACGCCCGGCGAGAGCCCGCGCTGCCAGGCCACGGCTGGAACAAGAGAGTCATAGCAGAGATTGCCAAAACCATGAACCGTCAGAAGACAAATCTTGAATTCATGCATACAAAGAAATTCTATGAGTGGAATGGAGAACAAGCCAAGAGAGTGAAGAACACCAGCATAGCCAAGAACAGCACAAGAAAACCTGCAGAAGAACACACCAGCAGTAGTCCAGTAGTCAAGCTGAGAGCGAACAACCAAGAGCTGTGCTTCCATGGTACGCAACGTCAGCCTGGTTAAAGCCCTGGTTTCTGATTGGTCACATCACAAACAGCTGCATGTGTCTCCGCCAATCAGTAGACAGTTCCTTAATCAAAGGACGTAAATGCCGATACCACGAAAACACGTCTTTGTGAATGAAAAGCATAGCAAGAGACTGAGTGGGCGGCGCGTGGGCGGTCGTGGGCGGCGTTGGAGGCGTACCTGAGGCAGTGAGGAGGTTATGGCGTGTATGGGCGCTGAGGTGCGGGCGGAGTTTGCGTTGTGGGCGTGCCCTCCTCTGTGTGGGTGTGGTACCAGATCCCAGAGGTCTGTGTGGGCGGGGGGGCCGGTGGGGGGTACCCATGGGGAGGCCCCAGGGGGAGGGTGGGCGTACTGGGGATCTGCTGCTGATTCTGGTGATGCTGATTGGACGAGGGAGGCTGGAGGTAGGTGGGCGTGGCTGGCCTGTGCGGCTGCAGAGAGTGATGACCGCTCGGGGACACGGGCGTGGAAGACGAGGAAGGCGCGCCGCCCATGGGCACTGTGTGGATGTTCCGGGGATGGTAGCGGGCCTGATGGACGCTCAGGCTGTGCTTGTTCTTGAACATCTTGGCGCACAGGGGACAGCGCACCTCAAGGGAGTCGTGGGTCCGCTTGAGGTGCAGCGACAGGTACGAGAGCTGTACCCTCTTGCTGCACACCGGGCAGGACACCACGCCCACCTCCTCACACCCACCCATGTTCCCAGCCACACTCACGCCCATAGTCATATTAGGTACGCCAGCGCCGCCACCTCCACCAGCAACACCACTGCCGCCCACGAGGCCCTCCAGGCGGACCAACAAATCTGGAAGAAAAGCAAAACTGACTCGTCAAGCACCAAAGGGGGAAGCACTTACCTCGAGAGTGTCTTTTTTTTTTTACTTATTTTAGGTTATTACTGCTACCTTTACTGACTCTCCTGATCACAAAGGAAAGTATGCTGAGGCAGAAGCCAGTCAGTATATGGGGCTCTTGCAGTCTTCCACTCTACTTACCGCCGGCAACACCTGGCATCTGCTCTACCAAACTCTACTCGACTGAGTGGCTCACACGCACAAGCACACAAGCACACGTGTCAAAAAAAAGACTGAATAATGAGGAAGCAGAAAGTCACATGAGTCTGCACACGGGAGGCGGGGAGTCGACCCCAAAATGCAATAAGTGTCTTATTTAGAATCAGACTGACCAGTAGAATGCTTCGTAAAAGTGAAACATTTATTCTTAAATGGAAGGGAGACAAACAAGTCTAAAGCAATTAGATGAAACGTGAATGAAAAAAAAACTGCAAAATGTGTAGCAAAATGATATGAGGGAATAAATTCAGGTTTTCCTTGTCCTAAGACCAGCACGTTCCACGTCCTGTCTGCCAAGCCCTCGGCATTATTGAACTCCAGAATGTTTCCCATGCACACGCCTTGGATAAGAAGACAACAAAGAAACAATAACAAATTTATTATTGTTAACAAAGTATATCACAGCAGTTTCTCCTATGAATACAGTAAATAAGAAATGCACCTGGAAAGCAAAAGAAGAAAACATTGTACAGGTGATGCCGCGAGCCCACGGGGGAAGCCAAGCATGCCGAGTCTCACAGCGAACCGAAGACGGCCTCGCGGCTGGCCTTCGTCGGGCCAGACCCCCGCGGCGCCTCGGGGCCGCGGGGGAGCCACGCGGGCCACAGGACGCGCTTGCGGAGTTATGCATGCATGTGTACATGTGCCTGTGTGTATGTGTATGAGAATGTGAATGTGTGTGATTTGTGGTCTGAGTGTGTGTGTGTGTGTGTGTGTGTGTGTGTGTGTGTGTGTGTGTGTGTGTGTGTGTGTGTGTGTGTGTGTGTGTGTGTGTGTGTGTGTGTGTGTGTGTGTGTGTGTGTGTGTGTGTGTGTGTGTGTGTGTGGGCGCGTGTGTGCGTGTGTGCATGTATGTGTGTGTGCGTGTGAGCTTGTATGTGTGTTCATGTATGTGTGTGCGTGTGTGCATGTATGTGTGTGCGTGTGTGCATGTATGTGTGTGCGTGTGCATGTATGAGTGTGCACGTGTGCATGTATGTGTGTGCGTGTGCGCATGTATGTGTGTGCGTGTGCGCATGTATGTGTGTGCGTGTGTGCATGTATGTGTGCGTGTGTGTATGTATGTATGCGTGTGTGTATGTATGTGTGTGCATGTACGTGTGTGCATGTATATGTGTGCGTGTGTAGATGTAGATGTGTGTGTATGTATGTGTATGTGTGTGTGTGTATGTGTTTGCGTGTGCATATATATATATATATATATATATATATATATATATATATATATATATATATATATATATATATAAAATACATATATATATATACATGTATATATATATATATATATATATATATATATACATATATATAATATACATATATATAATATACATATATATATAATATATATATATATATATTATATATATATATATATATATATATATATATATATATATATATATATATATATATACATATATATATATATATAATAAATACATTATATATATAATATAAATATATATCATACATACATATATATATCATAATGTATATACACATATATTTTATAACTATTCATACAGGGAACAAAGAAATGCCAATGCTCGAAGGAAATTTTAGACAGTTTGGAAGTACACATTTTTGATAAAACATTTAGCAGTGACAAGATTTCATGGCAAGGGACGAAAGAGCAGCGAGTGATGGCGACCCTCGTGAGTCCTGAGGCAGCAAGGGCGTGCAGTCGAGCCACGGCACGGAGCAGGCTGCCGGAGGCCCTGCCGTTCGTGAGCGAGCGGAAGGGCGCAGCGGGAGCAACGGAGAGCTCGGTGCTGAGGCGGCGACTGCACGCGGCGTTGCTGCTGCCCCACCGTCACCACGCGGGGACCGGCGGTGAGATAGTTTAGATCAATGTCAGAAGGGACTGTTATACTGAACTACGTCCAGACGGACCTACGGCTTGCTATGTTGGGCTGAACATGTAATGAGTGAATGTTAGACGCTGCCGTGTCCGCCTTCTGCGTCAGGAGCGTAGGGCCGAGCAGAAGGCCAAAGCCAAGTATACACACGGGCGAAAGCACACAGGGGTGGCGGGAGCGCACTAAGGCAAGACTTTCGCCGGCACGCTGACGGCGCTCTCGTAATCTCCAAAAGCGTTTCGACGCGTCAGGCGGGTGGGTGAGGCGGGCCAATCAGAGCGCGGGATCTACAAAGCGACATTTTTTCTATTTTGAACACGCGACTTGAGCGGAAAGACAATCCTTTGGGGATATGAACTTGGAAAAATCTGGAAATGGCAAGTTTTAAGTTATCTGTAATAAGTAAACTTGAGCTAACTGTCTTTACAGCACATCCTAGTTAAACCATTCGCCCATGATTGCGGGTGACAATGAGAGTCAGATCCGAAAGTGACCAAGAGTCTACTCACTACACTCGTATTCAACACAGAATAAGCTGAAAAAGCTCACTGGCAGTAGTAACGTGAGCGTGCCACGGCTCACACGCTTTACATGTGTATAAGACGATCTATCAAAAATAATCATAACAAAAATGACCAAACCGGACACTGCAGTCGGGAGAAGCACAGAAGCACGAGGCTTTAATGTGTCAATAAACTTAAGGAAGTCTCTTATCATACTGTTCGGCCGAGTGTGCTGAGGAATGTTTGCAAGTACATCGAAAAAGAGATTGTCTTGAAAGAAATCGTACGTGTTCAAAAAAGTATGTGATTTACAGTATACGAATGGATGCACAGACGCTTGAGTGATTAGATATACCTTTTCTCCTTCGGTTAACTTAGATGAACTGCATTAACACGGAAAGAATACAGAGAAAAATACCACTCATAGTGTCTACAGCACTCTATAACCTACAGCTTTTGAACGCATGATTAATGGCATGTGCAATGACAACTGGTTGCAAAATGTAGTTGATATGTTCACTATGTCACAGAATGAAAATGTCTATGCGTTAAAGTCAAATGGAATTTCAAGTGGAATTATAACATGTATACAGAGAAACCACCAGTTGTTATTAGTATTACTGCCTTGCATGTTAGAGCAATTCATCCACATGCATCCATTTAAAATTATTTCATCTCCAACAAATTATACAGAAAATTGACAACAATAATAACTACTGATTGCATCATCTAAGTGGCATTCGGAATATTGTAAGATGAAAACTTAATTACAAGAAGTAGAAGTGCCCCTTTGAGCGCCTCGGCCGCGGGGGCGGGGCGTCGACCGAGCCGCCTGAGTTGCACCGGGGCCCAGCCTGGGTCACAGCCCTCCGTTCCTAGGGAGCGGAATTCTAAATCCTTGTCTTTATCTATCTGACCCATTTCTCTCTATTTGTCTCGTGCAACTCTCTCTCTCTCTCTCTCTCTCTCTCTCTCTCTCTCTCTCTCTCTCTCTCTCTCGCATCTCTCTCTCTCTCTCTCGCATCTCTCTCTCTCTCTCTCTCTCTCTCTCTCTCGCATCTCTCTCTCTCTCTCTCTCTCTCTCTCTCTCTCTCTCTCTCTCTCTCTCGCATCTCTCTCTCTCTCTCTCGCATCTCTCTCTCTCTCTCTCTCTCGCATCTCTCTCTCTCTCTCTCTCGCATCTCTCTCTCTCTCTCTCGCATCTCTCTCTCTCTCTCTCGCATCTCTCTCTCTCTCTCGCATCTCTCTCTCTCTCTCTCGCATCTCTCTCTCTCTCTCTCTCGCATCTCTCTCTCTCTCTCTCGCATCTCTCTCTCTCTCTCTCGCATCTCTCTCTCTCTCTCTCTCGCATCTCTCTCTCTCTCTCTGTTGCATCTGTCTATCTATCTATATGTCTGTCTGTCTGTCTCTCTCTCTCGCATCTGTCTATGTCTCTGTCTCTATCTCTCGCATCTCTGTCTATGTATGTCTCTCTCTCTCTCTCTCTCTCTCTCTCTCTCTCTCTCTCTCTCTCTCTCTCTCTCTCTCTCTCTCTCTCTCTCTCTCTCTCTCTCTCTCTCTCTCTCTCGTCGCATCTCTCTCTCTCTCTCTCTGTCGCATCTCTCTCTCTCTCTCTCTCACTGTCGCATCTCTCTCTCTCTCTCTCTCTCTCTCTCTCTCTCTCTCTCTCTCTCTCTCTCTCTCTCTCTCTCTCTCTCTCTCGCTCATTCCAGGTCTGCCTGTCCCAGCAGACACACCAGCGTGCATGGCAGTTTGCGGCAACAGCACTTGCCACACTTGCCCCCCGGCGCCCCGGCCTCCCAGGCGAGGCGCGCCGCGGCAGCCAGGAACGGAGCGAGTCAGAGGGCCGGCGCGGGGGACCAGGGGCGCTACTCACGAAAGGTCTGTGACTGTTCCTTAGGGTTTTGTCTGTGATTTGCGCTGACGCCACATCTCAAAGTTAATGCAAGTAATAGAACAAACAAACTCTATGAAGACAACCGACTGCAGTAATATGTTAAACTACATACTGCAATAAATCTTACTCATATATTGGCATTAGTATTACACATTTTGTATATTCAACTGTATTTGGGCATCCACAGGGAAGTTGTCATTGCATCAGCTGTAAAGGCGCGCGACGCCATTAGTATTTTCGAATTAACAGATGCTGTAAATATGTAAAAACGGATCAATTAATGGCTGACAATGCAACAGAATGGGGCTCCAGTCTGCTTCCCATTACTGATATGTGATGATCTTCATCTGTCTTTGACTCGGCTAATTTGTCTAGGGCTCCCTACGAACAGGTCTCTGACAAGTAGTTTTAGAACAGAAGTGAAAGTGTCCCACGCGTGAAAGGACTTTCTTTAAAACTACAATCTGAAGAAAATTATGGCATCGATTGGATAACAAAAACATGGAAAACCCTTTTGATTTATTATCCTGCAATTTTACTGATATTTTCTATTCATGTCCATAAGGACTGTCTCTTATTTGCACTTGGGCATTTTTGACCTCCGTTGAAGATTATTCCGCTTTGGAAATAATAAGCTTCGAGGCCTCTTTTGATTTATATTCAAATGTTAGCTGAAA